CGAGAGGCCTGTCACGGGGCGGGTTGGCCTGCAAGTGGTTCCGTCCCTTGGGGTCTTTAATTTTAGGCTGTTATTTCCTCTACCTAAAAATAGCGTTTTCTATCTATAGTGCCTAGTTTGGAACAAAACTGTTTGTGGCTCAGAAGTTAGGGCAGCAGACTTCCTGACCGCCCGCTCGCCCGCCCGCCGCCCAAGTGTGTGGTGTGCCCTGGGTTCCAGTAGCCTGCTGGGAAACAAGGACCCAGCTTAGCAGGCAGGGGTTTGTTGGTTAAACTAAAACTGAATTTTGAAAGAAAAGGAAATAGTATATATAGAAGTGGTCAGAGGAAAACAGCCTCCGAGTGAAGCAGCCTCGCTTGTCAGAGGGATGGTGTCCTCTTTGGTTGGTGCTGCCCCAGCCTGTGGACTGCCCTGAGTCCCCCCACCCCCGCCTGTGTTTTAAGTTTATTAGTCTATTTTGAGAGGCAGAGACAGTGCAAGCAGGGGAGGGGCAGGGAGAGAGAGAGAATCCCAAGCGGGTTCCGCGCTGTCAGCGCAGAGCCCGACGCGGGGCTCGAGTTCATGGAACTTCGAGATCGCGACCTGAGTCGAAATTAAGAGTCGGATGCTTAATTGACTGAGCCACCCAGGCGTACCTGAGTCCCCTTTTATAAATTGTCCCATCGGAAGGGCATTTCCTGCTAAAGAAGGAGCTGTTCTGTCCTCTTCCTGGGCCTTGGGCTGTCAACCCCGCAACATGGCAGAGCGTGTGTTCCCAGAGAACACTCGCTCTGCTCTCCAGGGGGCCTGTGGCTTCATGCCCAGGAGCTTGGGAAGTGGTGTCGGGCAGGCCCGGGTGCCCTGTCTAAGCCGTGGGAACTCTGGGTAAGTGACTGAACCCTCCCCAAGCCGCTTGTAGAGACAGATGATACTAACGGCTCACATTGTGGGTCTGTTCTCACGGTGCTGAAGGGAGCAGGCTCCTCCTGAGTGGCGCCCAGCACGCATTAAGGTGAATTCCAGCCACACAAGTGTAGGCTCGCCGTGTGCGGCCCAGTTTTGCCGTAGCCCACGGGGGAGGCCCTGGTACAGCCTGCTCCCACGTAGAGAGGACCCGGGGCGGGGGGTGACGTAAGATCCATAGACCTTTGCTCGGTTCAGACGTGGTGCTGAGCATCCTGGTTCGGGTGTCTCCCGCTCCCAGAGGAGACAGCAGGGTGGGGCCAGGGCCGGGCTCGTCACTTCTTGGAGCTGGTCGTCCCGTGGTGCTGATGGCGGGTCGGTGGTGTTGAGGGACCCAGGCTCTGACTCAGCTCAACCTGCAAAGGCAGTGACTTGGAAACTTAGCTCGAGCCTGCCTCTTTTCTCAGTTGGCTCGGGATCCTGAAGGGAGGACTGATGTTATGAATTTTCTGAAGCCCGTCAGTCGTAGAACCAAGAAGTGTGTGATTTTGTCTTTTATCTCATGCCCTTTATCATGACCCTGGACTCAGGCTCCAGGGCCAAAGGGACCCTTTGACAGTCCTTTGGCCCAGCGTGTTCGCACGGGTCTACAGAACATAGCTGCTCCACAGGGGCCTTGGGGATAGGGCGGGGAGTGGGGGCACAGCAGTGAGAACAGCTCACCATAAGACCCGAGGTCCAGAAGCTCCCGTCTGGTGGGCACCCTTGACGTGCATGTCAGGGATCTTGGCAGCAAGTGATCGATCCCGGTTCTGGCCAACTTTAAAAGAACTGTGTTGGGAGGCTGGTGGGAAAGGGACACACAAGGACTGGTTGACAGCTAGGGGCCAGGCTGGGGAATGGGCAGGACCCCAGGGGCACGAGGACACAGGACGACCTTACGGCCAAAGCCTTCCTCGCTTCTCTGTGCTTCCTCCCTCTCGGGGCTGAGCTGGAGCCCCCGGTGGCCCTCCTCTTGTTGCTTCCTAGACTGGCCCACACCTGGCTGACCTCCGATCTGGCCCCCTCATCTTCCTGCCTCCTGGTTCTCTGGATATGGGTTCCTGGAATTATTCTCCTTCCAAAATCACACATAGAGGGGAAAGACAGTTGAAAAAAAAGCTAGGGTCTGGTTAGGGATGGAAATTGCTGTTGGCAGCTGACAGTTACCAGGTGACTCTGGTAGTTACCAAATCTGGGGTGGGCAGATTTGTAGCTGGAGCCAAGGGATCAGGGAAGGCAGTGCTTGAGGAGGCCTGCACGGGAGGGGATGGGAGGGAACATGACCGGGACCCCGGTGGGGGCGGGGGGCGGGTGGAGTGAGGGCTGGCGCTATACAGAGGGTTTGGGGGTGTGTTCTAGACACATGTGAAGCTGGAGGTGAGGTGCAGGGGGTGATGAGAGGGGGGAACTCAGCTGGGGTCCCCCAGAAAGGTAAGGCAGGACTTGTCCCCTAAAACTCAAATCCAGGAGTGGTGTTACTGAACACGAGAACTTTATTCTTAGGGGATGATCAAGAGGGAGACAGCATGGCACAGGGCCTGAGAAACACGCACAGTGTCAGCAGCAGACAGGGACACGGACGTGGCCTTGACGTAGGGAAGCCGTGTGGTCAGGGAGGGTAAGAGGGGAGACAACGTGAGCCGTGGAGCAGGTGGTTGGTTTCTGCAGTGAGCACGGCAGTAGGAAGTGGTTGTTGTTGGTGTTGTTATTAAATGAAAATCCAGTGAAAATGTTCACGGTTCTGAAAACCGAGGCTGGACAGCACGGCACAGGAGGGTGGGAGAGGGGGAAGGGCCGAGCGGTTCATACCCTCCACGCACACAGGGTATCTGGAAACTCCGACGTATTGGAGTGTTTGTGATCTGCCCACAGGGCACATTTTTTCTGAACGACACCCAGGAGTGGCCTTTCCAGTGGAAAATGTGCAGTGTCACTTTCGGAGGGAGGTGGGAGTTGCCATTGTGTCATATTGGGTGGACCGAGTGGCTCCTGCCCGGGGAAGAGCCCTGTCACTTGCCCTGTCGGTGAGGGGTGGCTCCCGAGTGCCTGGTCACCACGCAGCCAGGCTCCTGGGCGGGCAGGCGGGGGGCGAGGCTCTGTGGCAGAAAGGGCTTCTAGGCCCTCACGCTTGGTGTGGAAGAGGAAGAAAGGCGAGGCCACTGTGCACCGGGGGCCGCAGAGGACATTTCGTGGAAAAAAGTCCTGTTTGAGCTGGCTTCCGTAAAGAGTAGGCAGAAACGGGGGGTGAGGAGGAAGAGGCCTTCCAGAAAGGAGGGGGTGAGCAAAGGCCCGGAGGGAGGAAACGCTGTCCAGGCTGATCACAGGCTTTCCAGCAGCTGTGACCAAATTCTATTGTCCCGCTGTCCTCACAGTTCGTGTCCCCGTACCACCTGTGGATACTGTACCGCCCAGTATCAGTAACAATACTGACTTGTTATTTATTTATTTTATTTTTTTTTTTTAATTTTTTTTTTTTAACGTTTATTTATTTATTTTTTTTGGGACAGAGAGAGACAGAGCATGAACGGGGGAGGGGCAGAGAGAGAGGGAGACACAGAATCGGAAACAGGCTCCAGGCTCTGAGCCATCAGCCCAGAGCCCGACGCGGGGCTCGAACTCACGGACCGCGAGATCGTGACCTGGCTGAAGTCGGACGCTTAACCGACTGCGCCACCCAGGCGCCCCCTGACTTGTTATTTAAACACGTTTACTTAAAAGGGAAGCTTTGAGGCCTGCTGAGATTTGCATATTAATGTTATGTCATGGTCTTTGTCATTAGCTTCCGTGGGCCCCCCAGTGTCCCCCCCGCCCCGTACCTGTGTCAGAACTGTCTCCTTTACGTGGCCCACGTGGCTGTGACCTTCACTGCCACCAGCGTGACCTGCTATTTTGTCAGCTTTAACCATGGGCTTAGAAATCTCTCTCTCTGTAGGAAGCCTGATACAGGTAAAGCTCAAGTGCCTTGGGATGATCCCCTCCTCTGTGTCTCCCTCCTGACGGTGGCTTTAGTCATCAGCCTAGTGGGTGTCTTTCCAGGCCTTTCTCCTGCAGTGTTGTTTCATTGGTTTCATTGTCGTTCCTAAGGTAAGTAGTATCATATCGTCGGTTTTTATGATGGCTCCTTCTCATAAATCTGTTGAAGTTACTTTAATAAATGAAAGCAGTAATAAATACCTTGTTTAGAAAAAGGATCACAGTACACAGAAGGGTAATTCCAAGACGCAAAGCCAACTACGTCTTCTCTGCTTCCCACTCTGAAGGGCTGCCTGTGGCCCGCAGGGGAAGGTGACACGTTGCCCTGGTCTCCGGGGCCCTGCCACCCCTGCAGACTGGTGGACCCCAGGCCTCTTCCCTCCACTCACTGCAGCCCCGGGCTCTGTCCGTACACCTCCTCCGTGGGCTGGTGGCCCTGGGCCAGGGGACTGGGCAGCATGGAGGTGGGACAGCACACGGAGCCGGGAAGGGGCCGGAGCCAGCGAGCCCACCGTCCTCTGCCCCTTGGCCTGGTCACCGAGTTAGGGGAGGCTGCTAGCACCTGCCTCGGAGGGCAGCTGGCAGGAAGGACTCACGACTGGGACAAGCACCCAGCACAGCCTCTCACTGGGGGCCAGGGGTGGTGCTCAGTGTGAGCTGCTGCTCTCGCCCTGCTTATCGTCGGTCTTCACTGCCGCCCGCTGTCCCCGGGCCCAGCACGTGGGGCCTGGCATGGGAGCGTTCGGTACGCGTCCGGATGGCGGATAAAGGGAAGATGGGATAGAGACGGACCCGGCACACGTGAGGCCGTGCGGGCACAGGCTCCACGTGGGGAGGGGGGCGGAGCAGGGAATAGGGGGCAGCAGGCCGGGGGCTCCCAGCGAGGACAGGGAGAGCGCGGCAGGTTCGGACGCCGTTTCCCGGCCCTTACTACACACAGCGCCCTCCCTGTCTGCACACTCAGCGAGGAAGGGGCCACACAGACTGGCATGCACCCAAGCGGGCTGGGCCCTCGCCTGCCTCTGGCTTGGCTGGCCTGCGCTGGGGTCGATGGAGTGGGTAAGATGGCCACACTTTCTTGACGCCATCCCGTTTCTCTCCAGGCACTGCCGCCGTGGAGGAGCTGGAGGACTTCATCAACAACATTAACAGCGTCTTGGAGTCGTTGTATATTGAGATTAAGAAAGGGGCCACCGAAGACGACGGGAGACCCGTTTACGCGCTGGTGAGTGCACGCCGGCGCCCTCTCGTGGCTCCCGTGAGGAATTGCGGGAGTGGAGGTGCCCCTGCCCCGGCAGCTCGGCAGCCCTGGAGCGGGGGACACGGACACAGCCTGGCCCCGCCTCCCCCTCCAGCCCGGTTCCGGGTCACTGGTGCCACTGTACGAGTCCTCTGCAGTGATCAGGGCCGGGGGCTGTCACCTCAGTGCTCACCTCCCTGCCCCTGCCCGGGACACCGCAGAACGCGTTTGGCTTTGTTTTGTCTGTTGACAGTTGGATGTAAGAAGTCATCCCAAATGTATGGAACACTAGGATTAAAGGAGGAAAGCGGTTTCTCATTTGGAATAAGACACAGAGGCTGTGAGAAGAGAAACTGGGTGGGGGGGGGGCCCTGGGGACTGAGCCATTCGGGTTCCAGGAAGCCCCCCCCGCCAGAGAGCAAGGGGAAGCACAGGTGGGACAGAACTGAGCACCTTAGATCATTGGAGGAGACGCGGCTCCCCCCCGCCAGGCCCGCCCAGAGAGGGGCCATAGCCAGGGGTTCCACACTGTTCCAGGGGAGAAGGATCGTGGAGCTGAGTAACTGCGGAAACGCCGCGGACTTCACGGCGCCTTTTGCATTTGAAGCTCTGTTAAGCGTGCAGTCGAGTTCCCCAAATGTGTCTGATTTCGGAAGCTCCTGCACCACCTCTGGAAATCTCCGAGAGTCGGGGATTTCGAGCTGGACACCCAAGTCTGTAACATGCGACTGGTCACAAATCCGGGCCCTGTGGCCGACAGTGCCCGCACCCCGGCACTCAGAGACTGGACAGAGGAGGGGGCTGGGCGAGCCGGCCAGTGAAGGGCGCCGCCTGACCGTCACGCTGACCTGTCTTTTAGGTGAATCTTGCAACGACTCCGGTTTCCAAAATGGCCTCGGATTTTGCAGAGAACGAGCTGGATCTGTTTAGAAAGGCTGTAAGTACAGTATGGTTGTTCATTGGCCGGGCTTGCGACGGGAAACTTGCCGTCTTCAGCGTTAGAAACGGAAACTGCCATCATAGAGGGTCACCGCCGCGGCCCCAGATGGCCATCTGCGGGGTCCCTGCCCAGTGCATCGCCTCCGGGCGCCGGCTCGGGAGGGCGCCGTGGCTGCCTGGGAGGGAGCTTGTCCAGATGTGAACCCCGGTCGGTGGAGCACCAGGCGTCTGGGTGTGTGGTGCAGGCGGACCGGCGTTCCCGCCTGGTGCTCGCCGCGCCGCCCAGACCCCCAGCGGCGGTGGCCGAGGCGCCAGGGAGCTCGCTGGCAAGGCCGGATCCCGGTCCCCGCCCAGACCGCGGCCCGTGGCCGTGCGTGTTAACAAGGGCACCCCGTGGAACCCTTCCCGTCTGCATCGGAGAGGCACTGCTCTGCCTCCCCGGCTTCAGGGCTCTTCCCTCAGCCCCCTTGTCACTCACCCGGCTGAGCCCCGGGTCAAGGCGGTGCTTCTCAGCCCGGGCCGCGTTCCAGGAACCAGGAGGTAGGAGCCTCGAGACATCCGGTCTCGTCCACATCTGGCGGATCCGGGTCTCTGGTGACGGGTCCTAGAACCCTCCCTTTCGAGCCTCCTCTGACGGCAGTCGGCAGCCGAGGTCGAGGACCCGGCTGTGACGGCAGACGCTCCTGCGTGTGTGGAAAGCTGAAAGCCTGTCACAGACGCTTCCTGCTGTGAGCAGTCTCGAGGGCGGTGCCCGGCAGCCCCTCCTGGCCCGGGCTCCGGCGTCTCTGCCGCTCCCGAGTGGGCCTGCGCCCTAGCTCGCCCGGGCTTTGCTTTCCCGCCCTCCCTGCCTCCAGCCAGCCCCTCGGCCCCCGCTCTCCTGCCCGCGTTTGAGTAGACGGGTGCCGCCTCGTCATCCACTCTTTCATCCCTCGGCTTCTCTGCCTTCGGGGAGGTGGGGGCAAGGGGGCCGATCTGGATCCGGAGGCCTGAGGATCATCCATCTGGCATGGTGTCACAGGGTGACCGTTGAGACAGAAGGACTGACCATGGTCACGGCTGTTGATGTTCGCTACTAAACTGTCTTCCTGAAGGATTGTTCCAGGGCTCAGCTCTGTCTGTGATCGGTAGTTTCGCGGCACCCCTGCCAGGATCGGTGTTATTGCTTAAACGGTGTTTTTGCCGATTTAATAGATGAACGTGGTACCTGCTGTTTCTTCCAGTTGGAACTGATTATTGATTCGGAAACTGGCTTTGCGTCCTCCACAAATATTTTGAACCTGGTCGATCAACTTAAAGGCAAGAAGATGAGGAAGAAGGAAGCAGAGCAGGTGCTGCAGAAGTTCGTACAAAACAAATGGCTGATCGAGGTACGGTGTCCAGCGGCTTCCCCAGCCTGGCTCGCCGTTCAGACCGGATAGCAAATTCTCCCCCCGAACCGTATGGTATCCGGTGGTCCGCTGAGCCGGGCCCTCTCGGGCCCCTCGTCTGCCTTAACGCCGGCCGTGACGGTACGAGAAGGGCTCGGGGCCTCCCGTTCACTCACGTCACGTGTCCAGGAGGCCCGGCCGGAAGCGCAGAGCACGCGCCACCCGGGCTCAAGCCCCCGGTCCGCAGAGGCGGGTCCGTGTGCACCGTGGGTGAGGGCGCCGCTCTGGCGTTGGGCCTGGGACCCGATGAGGTGGCCTGGAGCCCCTCTCCTGTAGGAGGGGAGGAGGAGTGTCCCCTCGGGGCGGGGATGGGACGGCAGATGGCCAGAGCCTGGTGCCAGGGTCCCAGGGCAGCTGCTGCCACCGTCAAGGTTGTCGGTGGTTGTTATCGTTGGTGTTCGTTATTCAGGGCTAGCGCCCTCGAGTCCTCTCAGGGAGCCGGTGGCCCGCCGGAGCAGGGAGGACGTGTGGGTGAACTGCCGGAGAGGAGCCGTGGCGCCCGGGAAGGGACCAGACTGCCCTGCACGCTCGTGGTTCGAGGACCCCCCCACGTCCGCTTCTGCTGACCGAGCGGGCCAGACGTCTCCGTGCTTTCCCACACAAGGCGAGACCTTCGCCCGGAAGCCCGAGCCAGACGGACGCAGCTCTCGCTCGCCGCGGCCTGTGCCCGCGCACGGTGCGCTCGGGTCAGCCTTTGGCTTCCTCGCTCGGCGGCCAGACCGTGGCCGGGGACCACTGCTCGTGGCCAACGCGATCGTTCTTTCCAGGGAGGGCCCGCCTCCAGTGGCCGGAGCTGCGGTGCTCTGGGCCATTGCCCTCTGACGGGGCGGCCGTCCTGTACCGAGTGCCGCCGATCACTGAGTGCACAAGTGCTCGGCTCCCGAGGTGCTTTCCTGACCGTAGGGGAGGCCGGACGGGCCACAGAGCTGCGGACAGGGGCGCCAGGGCGGGGGTGCCGGTGCCATGGCCACGGGTCCCCCGCTGCCCCGCGGAGACGGAGAGCCCCTCTGCTTTGGTTTTAGCTGAACAAACCGCAGCTCCGTGGTCTGGCTGGCGTCCTGCACCCGGCCCTCGTCTGGGTGACTGCAGCTCCCTACCGATTGCTTTGTCACGGGTTTCCTTCCCCTTGGGGGCGTCTGGCAGTACGGAACATTCTCGGGCGGCTCGGGTGATAACTGGCTGAGCTGGGTCAGACCGCACGTGTTTAAGGACAGAGGCTGGCATCCTCGACTTGTTCGCTGTGCCTTGTTGCACCTGTAGGCGCGCTATAAACTCTTGCTGAGGGGATGGCCACATAGGTAGGGGACGTGCCAGAGGGACAGAATTTACGTAAAACTTGCCAAAAACTATACCAAGAAATGCTCGCTCCTCAGACGAAGAGGAGACGGTAATTGACCTTCGTGAAGAAACACGCTGGAGTCACCTGGTGTTCCACCCCGAGCCGTTCCAGTAGCCCCCGTGCACCTGCTTTGGCCCCGCGAGTTACCGTGTCGCGATGGCAGGGGCCGGAGGCGGGTGGTCGGGGGTCTGGGGGAGGTCCTGAGGTGGCCCAGCTAAACCACGGATCCTCGAAGTGTGGGTGTGCTGACAGCCAGCGTCCGCATGTCGCAGGGACCGGCCAGATGCGAGGCCTGAGCTCAGATGGTAGTGGTGAGGCGAGGCCTGGGAGATCTCGGGAGTCTTGGTCTTTTGGGTGGGGTGGGCGGGGCACCTCACCTGCCCCTGCCCCTCCCT